GAATGTAGAATGCAGTCTTTACTCCCCAAAGGATCATTGATTTTCATGTCACCATCTTTAAAATCATGTAAGTTTTCATAGTTTCTGTGCTTGTCCTTTTTCAATGTGTGTGTACTAACTTGACTAGTAATTTCAGGGGTGCCAGCGTATATTCTTTGAACAAGGAATTAAAGAATCCCCGTAGCAATGTAACAGTGCAATTTTACGGAATACAGTGCAAGTTTACTAGTATACAGTGCAATTTTACGGAATACCGTGCAATCGTATTAGTATACAGTGCTAAAAATGATCATGCTAAAGCTAAGATGAATTTTCCTGCTCATTCATTAATTTCTTGCATCAGCTGTTCTACTTTACTAATATTGAATCTAGGTTATCTTATAACACACATTGTTGGAGGATATACAAGGTAGTCCAAATATGCTATAATTGATAAGTGGCGCAAAGTTCATTGTATTGCCTAGATTGCGACCTAGATTATGTACTAGAAAAGTAGAACAGCTGATGCAATTGTCCTGTTTATATTTCTATGTGCTATTGCCTACTGGACCAGAAAAAGGGCATAATAAAGTCCAGGGCAGTGCCAAACTACTCCTCAACTCCCCCGTAGTAAATTTACATGTACATAGGAGGAGGAAGGGCTCTTGGCTGCAGAAGGAAAATGATACTAGTCTGGCTCCCATGGTATGATCATTACCCTAATTAGTGTGATCATTGGTGTGGGTAAGAAATAAACCCAAACAAGAAAGTAGTGCAATTGAGACAGTGAATGATAAAGGCCCTCTACTTGTGGAATTCATCCAGAATAGTTTCCCAGTATCTCATTCATGATTGTCTCAATTGGTAACCTACTTTTGTGTACAGAGCACTCCAGTGCTACAGACAGCCCAGTCAACATGAAAAGAGTCACTGACTCAAAGTAACCGACTTTAAGGACAACTTCTCACTCTCAGGGTCAATGACCGATAGTACGTAGTATTTCACTCTCAAGCCGCTTGCTATAGTGTGGGTCAACTTACAGAAGTCACTGACCAAAAGTGTCCCAATCCTAGACATATAATCTATCAAATCAACTTATTTGGTTTTGTACTGTCTGGAGCTAATTTGCCACATTTTTCGAATTCATGTGTAGCTTAAAAGTTAGTGCAACAGTCCAATACATATGTTACCTAGATCTTTCATACTAGTAGGTTATTGACCTGACCTAGAGGGTGATAGCTTGTTGTATTCTAGTCCAAAGAACTTTATTCCCATGTATAATAAATAGGGTTCATTGACCCCAGTAACCTAGAGGCCACAGAGCAGATTAATTACCATAGGCCGATTCCCTTGAGTAAGAACTAAGATGCATATTCAATGCTTTTATCACAAGCTTATATCTTTCCAAAAATATTACTATTAACACTGAACTATACTTCAGCAATTGAAAACAATGAAAGAAATGCTCTGTTCAACTTAATTCAAGCATCCTTGTCCAAAGAAACCGCCCATGAAATGTGATACTTTGGCTGCACATGTCAGGCCATGGGATGTGGATGTCCCACTTGTGTCCATCAACTGTGGTGAAGCCTGCTTAGCTGTCTGCACAGCTGTGTCTGCATGGGTATCTTATTTAGACCAAGGATAGCATTACTCCTAGTTCAAAACAATGGAAAGTGTGCACAACTTCAGTGATTTGATTTTGAGATCACAGAGAAGGTTGCCTGTCCCAAAAATATTACCATTGTGTGCATTGTGTGTATTTACTCCACACAAACGTCTTTTACATACATGCATGTATGTGTGCTTTGATTTGCATATTTGTCAGTCTTTGATCGATGGGGTGTCAGATGGGGATTGCGATTGTCTTGATAAAGATGCAATAATTTTTTTTCACATTCTTTTTGGGTCATTCAACTGTTAGTTTACGCCATGACAAAGTTATTCTGATCTATCAAGGAGGTGTAAAACTTTCTTGGATCTATTTTAGTATTTAAAACTGGAGAAAATCCTTTCAAAACCACTTATAGTACCTTAGGCCAAGAAAATTAGGGGGAAGTCTATGGATGTGAAACAGATTTTCTTCATATCCTTTACGACAACAAAGTATCTGTTTGTTCTGTAAGTAATTCAAGCCAGTAATAGCACTTTGTTTACTCACAGCCTGTACAGCTTAGCTGTTTGCCTATTGTTTTTCTCTCTCTCTGATTTAAGAGATAATGAAAAAGACCTAAAGCAAAGAAAGTCCTAAAATTTGAGAGTATAAAGAAAACATATGTTGTGACGTTGTACACTAGACTACTGTAGCATGCATGATATGGGTTAACCATCATGTTGTGATTTCTTTTTCTTTCATTAATAATAAGAGAGTTATACGAGCACAGTGCTCAGGCCTGTTGTTTTCTTTCTATGATGTAATAGCGTATAGTGCGTGAGTGTATACCTAAAAGTTAAAGAAAGCTCTCTAAAACTTTGTGATGTTGTACACATACACTGAACTACTGTAGCATGGGAAACCATAATCTTACGATTTCCTTTTCTTCCTTAGGAGAGTGTACAGACGCAGTGCTCAGACTGGCCACACAGGCCAGGAAACGTAGTCTCGGCCCGCTACACCCCAGCTTCCGCCTGGTAAAAACACTCCGGGATGGCATGCGGCGCATCTTCCCTCCCAACGCTCACGAGATCGCGTCCGGGAGACTCTGTCTGTCGGTCACCAGGGTGTGTGATGGACAGAACGTCATCCTGGACCAGTTTGACACCAGGGAAGAATTGATCCAGGCCTTGATTTGTTCAGCTTTTGTACCTGTGTACTGTGGGCTGGTACCTCCCATGTTTAAGGGAACGGTAGGTTTCAGCTTATTGTATTAATCTGTATATATTCTGTTTAAGTAACAGTTTTTATCATGTTAGACTGGAAAATTAGTTCTAATCGCCATACTCAAGTTGTTTTTCAAGTATAGGACTAGAACTTAGTAGAAGTCCTTTTTTCTGGACTGGTACAGGCTAGAATTTCCTGCACCAGACAAATTTTACCTGCACCATTCAGAATTTAGGAATTATATGGATGATACTAAAAACTGTAAAAACTTCTTTTATAAATTATATGTCCATAGGTTGCAGCAAACAAAAATCCACATACATCTGCAATAAGCATGTATATGTAAACCCAGTACTAGTACATGGAGCAGTGCAGGTTAGGTGCAGGTAGACATTAGATATACCTGCACAGACCTAATTTTACCTGCAGTATAGTGCATATTCGCCCAGTATTTCCAGCCCTGAAGCAACTTGCATTTTTCACATTTCAGAGATATGTGGATGGAGGCCTGAGTGACAACTGTCCACATCTTGGCAAGAACACCATCACAGTGTCACCCTTCTCAGGAGAGGCAGATATCTGCCCAATGGACAAACTCTCCAAGTAAGGGGGCATCAAAAATCATTTTAACTGATACATGTTCAAGAGATATTTGACTGTACAATATGAAAGCAAATTGCCATTGACTTGGTCAGCATGTTCTCTAGTTGTGTACATGTGCATTGCTGTCATTGCAGAAATTTGTGTATTAGACTCTTTGTCAAAACAAAACAAAGACATAAAATAGATATGTGACAGACATGCAGCCCCTCTTTCATTGGTCGAGCCGCTAAATGCCATTCTCATTGGTTGAACTGATATTAGTGATAATTGTGATTGGCAGTCAGGATCAATTTCCCTTGTAATTTACATACCCCCTCATTCCTTGAGATTATTTTTGTCTCATGGATTTTCTGTTTTTCTTCTTCCCTCCCTGCAGTAATTTATTGAACTTCTCCATGACCAACACCAGTATCCAGTTCACCACCACCAACATGTGGCGCATGTCCATCGCGTTTTTCCCTCCAGAACCCAAGGTTCTACAGGAAATCTGCCGACAGGGCTTCAACGACGCCCTCCGTTTTCTTCGCGAAAATGGTACACAGCTATAATTCTGTTCTGAAGACTGGAGATGTGTGTATTATATGTAGTATGTTATGTCAGGGTTGAGATGGTATCATCACTGATTTTGCCTGTAAACAGTCTAATTTTACAGATATTACAATGACCAGAATTTCTGTTAGTACAATCAGCAATTCTACCAGTAGATACCAGTCTTGAGTGTACATTTTAAGATATTTGCTTAAAAAACAACACTTTTCTTCTGATTAATAAAAATGTTTGTACATTTTTCCTGGGTTGCAGATCTGATAGGCTGCATGAGGCATGTCAGCAGTGTCAGGTCTATGAGCGAAGCCTTCAACCACTACCCTGCCAGGTCAACCAGTGAATGTAGCAGTGAAAGTAACACGGAAGTGGTCTTTGATGAGATCTGCAGTGAAACTAGAGAAGAAACCTCAGCAGAGGAGAAGGAGGAGTGTTCAGAATGCAAGTCGGAAATCCACCATGCTAACAAGGAGACACTTCCGACTAAGGTTTTAGATGGTAAGTACTTGAACTCGGTTTCACTCTATGTTAGTGAGTGAATGTTTAGATTAGTATTTACATTGAAAATCTTAGTAAATTTGGCATATTCCTTGTATAATGATAGGCCTTTTCACAACTTGGATTTTTTTTCAATGCATGAGTTAAATGAGGCAACAATGGTAGTGGTACAATGGCAGTGCTATATTAAAGGTGTTTATTCTGTTTAAAAAAATTGTACGATTCTCAGTGGCAAATGACAACAACAAATATGTCTGTGTCCTGATCAGGGTTTGGACACAACAATTTAAGCCAAAAGGCCCGGTGGGCGTTTCCACCGTACAGTGAGAGAAGTTGTGTAAAGTGCCTTTCCCAAACGCCACAACATTGGGCATGTCAGTGGATTGAACCCGGGACCTTGTGGCTCTGAGTCGAATGCTCTGACCGTTATGTTACATGACGCCCCGCAATATTCTGTTAATGTGATATTTGTTAATGGTAGGAAATGCTTTATTCCTTCAGTGTATTTTATAGAATATTCTAATACTGCATTATGCTTTCCTTTATTTAGTTTTTCAGGAGGCCAATAGAAAGGGTTTACTCCACAGTATCCTGAACAGCTACACAGCCAGTTTTCTGTCCCTGCTTACTCTGCCTTATATCCTACCATTTGAAACAGCCTTCAACTACACAATAAGGTCAGACATCGTAACTTTCACTGCTTGCATGTGTTTCAATTTTGTAGGTCATAGCAAATATCAGAAAATTACTTTGATGTATAACTATGATGTAGGAGTATTTTTTAGTGTATTTTGAACTTTTTTTACGGTACATGTAACAAGATTGCTCAGAAGTATGAATTTATGGTATGATTCTTATATGTGTTCGAATTCAAAGCCTTTCCAAACTTCCTTTTGCATCATTGTACTGCAAATCATGATTTTTCGCAGTACTTTTATATTCGTGGCCACTTCTCCACTGCGAACTTATCATTGCAGTGGACAAATAATTCACCGACAATCTTTTTTGCCGTAGCTGTGAATATAGTAACTGTTCCGTAAACATGAATTGTCAATTTTTCTCATTAAGTGATTTACAGTACTTTTGTGTACATGTTACGATAGGGAGGAAACACCTATGCAGTATACAGAATTCTTACCAAATTTAATTGAATCTTATTACCTGTAGGTTTGCCGAGTGGGCACCTGAAGAGACGGCCTACTACCTGAAGAAGCTGTTGAATCACCTGGAGTCACAGGTGAAGGGCAGGTGTGTGGGATCAGTCTATGTTTGCTCTAGATGAGATCTTTATAAATGTTTACTGTGTTACACACAATCTCTCACTGTTAGTGTTAGTGTCACTCATGGTCCTGATTGGGCCAACTCCCAGCCAATGGAAGGGCTGTTGAAAAGTGTTATGTATTCAAGCTATTTATGATATTATGGTACAGTACAAGTAAATAGTTTTCCAGATTCTCCTTAACAACTATGTCTTCCTGGAGTATAGTTTACAGTAACAGCAATCTAACAGTTTCAGTAAGTGAAGAAAATTTTACCACAAGTCCTTGCTTGCAAGGAGGTTAAATACAAGTATTTAACCTCCTTGGTCCTTGTTTGCATGTACTCTAGAATTTTAACTGTGCTACGTACAGCACAACATGTAGGTATGGTCATAAAGGCAGGCTTTGGTATTAGAGAGAGTTCAAACTTAGCGCAATAGGGAGACAAGCAAATCAGTTGCTACAACAATGTAGCTACTTATAATATTACAAGTTGGACATAATCAGGTACACAGGCAGCCATAACTGTGACCTGTGACCCAGCATGCACCTTGACCCGGCGGCCATGTTGTTTGTTTGTGTGTAGGGTGATGGAGTGGGGGTCAAAGTCCGCCTACAGTCAGCAACTCAAGGACTGCAGACTGATAGCCTTACTGCAGAAACTCCTGGACGAACTGCAGAGAAGAGGGCTCATTTCAAGGTACATGTAACTATATATGTTTTCATATACAGTATGATTTCAGTCTGTTGCCAATTCTGCATGAGAAAAAAAACTGTTGTAAAACAGGCTATAGAGAAATATTCCAAGATACTACTACATATACATGTATAGCGAATCGGTGACCAAACACCTATTGGAGTGTGCTTAAGGTCATTCACCTTTGCATTGTTCTTGTTACAGAAGAGGGCTGGCTGCTACAGACTCCACAGTACCTTGGTTTTAAAACAGGCTATGGAGAAAGATTCCAAGATACTACTACATATACTTGTATAGAGAATCTGTAACCAAACAGCTACTGGAGTGTGCTCAAGGTCATTCACCTTTGCATTGTTCTTGTTACAGAAGAGGGCTGGCTGCTACAGACTCCACAGTACCTTGGGACAACATGGCCGAACCTTCTCCTTCATCTGTAGAATGTCCTGAAGACATTTTCGTCGTGCCAAGTGACAACCCGACACTTAGACACATGCCTCACTTTTACCTGGATGACGTGCTAGACTGCACCGAAACGTGGTCCTATACAGATGACATAGACTCTCTCCTGGGTTATGTAGACACACAGGACTACATATTACTCAGGATGGACTGGGTAGATGCCATGGTTGCATCTCATTATAGCAAGATGATGGACAGCAACAATGATGACGACAAAGACATCTCAGTGTCAGAGGACGAGGGCATTGAAAGTCTTACAGGGTCTTTAGAAATGTCCTTCAGTGCCAAACTGTAAATTGAAACAGTGAAATAGGAATTCCTGGCTCACAATACTCTTCAGACAATCTATGTACATGCTCACTGTTGTATGCAATTGTAACTAATGAGTATATACAATGAAAAATTTAAGTAAAGTTGTCTTAGTTTTAGCTTTGTTAAATGTGTAAAAATAGAACTGATTTTTTGTACATGATACATATCTTCTCAAATTAAATATCTAACTTTTGCCGACAAAATGATAGAAATGTGAAGTATGCTTTCTGGGCAATGTATCAATGTTTCGTGAATACATATTTCTAATTTCACCACAGATATGGCAAAATTTATAAGAAATGATTTTAATCAAGTTTTTCTGAAGAAAAATTATATAGATCAGGATTCTGTGATCCTACCTTAATCTCAACTCTCTTGTCTGTAGTTTACAAAAAGGTGTGGTTGTTTATTTGTTTTTTCTAATTCACTGCTACCAAAGAACAGACGGGTGCCTTAATGCTTATTCAGTAACAATCTTAACCTTCGGCCTGCTGAGGTAGCCATGTGGCACCAAATTTATTTTGGCTATGGGGTTATCCAACAGGGAACAGGTTAAGTACTATATGGTGGACCAGTAGTGACTAAAGATGTGGACCAGTGTAGACCAACAGCAAAGTTAGTTAAATTGGTTACCAGTATATTTATGTACATGTACACATGTATATGCTAGACATGTGCAAAAGCTTATTTACCTCATGTGTCAACACTGTTGTGCAACTGACAAACAAACATGTTATTCCTTAACTCTTTTGTTAATGTTTTAAGAAAGTTTTACCAATGGAGTATCTAGGTAATATGTGGACCATTACATAAACACTTACATGTACATATGGAAATATCCATGAAATAGCAATCACTTTTTTGAAATTCACAATGTAAAATTTATATTGTGAATCTGTGCAAATTAATAGGGCAGACTTCCAAGTAAAAAATGCCCCTTATACATGTACATGCAGCTCACAGAATGTGTGTTGGTGATATGCAATCAATCATAGCAAAATTGTAGGTAAAAAAAGGATATAGCAATGCTTTAGTAAATAAATATAATTTAAAAACCTGTTTCTTTCTGGCTTATTGAAGTATTTTAATCACATTTGCTCAAAGTTTGCATGTTCAAAAACATGTATTGCATTGTATACAATATGGTGTACAAAAGTATATTAAATAATTATATGAATCAGTATTTTTCCCCAAAGTTGTTTTACTATGCACTGAACATTCTACAATTCAAGGGTACAAAGTAACACGTCGGCAGAACGTACTGCGCCTGCGCGAAATCTAAATGCACCGTACAGGTTTCGCGCAGGTGCAGTACGTTCTGCTGACGTGGTACTTTTGTACCCTAGAGTTTGACAGGAATAGCCTACGATATTACATATACATGTTTATTCGGATCAATGTTAATATAGCTACTGGTAACCTAGTTATGGATCCCTTGGTACTTCTGCATTCAATTTGGTAATTCTGTGTGCTTCACGTATGACATTGACAAAGTTTGTTTAAAACATCTTACAAACGTTGACTATCGAAAATATTGATTATAAAAACTATACCCCCCCCCTCCCCGAGTTTCGACCAATGGTTCGTTCGGCTCACGTGCCTGACCTTAAGTCAATGCTGTAGGATTTGGTTGGATACAAATTTGTGTGTACGTGACTATCACCAACTCTGTATCCAGGTACAGCTGTAAGTATATCATTCATTTTCCCTTTCAACACTTCAATCAAGCATTTAAGAACACGAGAACTAAATCCATCCATTTGACTATATATACATTGTACTTTTGCCGTTATAAATAGCGAGGCCGCTCTGTATACTTTGTGTACCAGGGTACCAAAGTCCAGTCCAATGTACAATCTGTAAGTGTTGGCATAAAGATCCAGGAATTGAGACTGCAACTGATTTTTAAAAAAAGTACGTGAGTACTACACTACATTGTAGCTTCGAGGCCATTGAAATATAATAAATATTGCGATTGTGATCCACATTTGAAACTAGAATGCATCGTGTTTACCTTCACATGGCCCAGCTTGACAAACTACTGCCTTGTTTATTCTTACTCAAGCACACTAATATACATGTACGTGGTGACCATGCAGTCCCTGCTGAACTCAGTTCTGCATGGCATCTGCTGCAACATGATGTAACCCGGGTGCGGCAAAATGTTCTCTCCCAGCAGACAAACTCCCATGGTATATTATCACTCTATTTGGCCGATTTTTACTCTTTCCAGCCGCCTCCCGAAGCCTGGTAGAGGCTAGTTTCAAGTAGCAACCACTAGTTTCAGTCACTGAAGTCGGACAGTTTTCAAAACCCATTAAGTTGCTTGAGTAACAATTTCATTGTGTATCTCATTTTCTGGATGTCTCATCTTCATCGATGTTAGCCGTAACTTTCTGTGAAAAGTTCCTGAGGTGACCTCGCCAGTCAGCTCCCCCGCCATGAGTTACCTGAAGACCTTGTGTGATGAGCCCCTGGTGAACGTGACGCTGGGACAGCTGCTGGACGACACCGCCGCCAGATGGCCCGGGAAGGAGGCGTACGTCTTCCGCAAGCAGGGCGTGAGGATGACGTATGCTGAGGTCAAACAAGAGGTAGGTCTCTCTCTGTGTCTCTCTCCCTCCCTCTCTCTACCTCTCCCTCTCTCTTCCTCTCTCTCTCCCTCCCTCTCTCTCCCTCTCCCCCTCTCTCTCACTCTCACTCCCCCTCTCTCCATCTCTATCTCCCCTCTCTTTCTCTCTTTCAGTCTCTCCCTCTATCTCTCTCTGTCAACCTCTCTCTCTCTCTCTCTTCCGACGGTCGAGTGATTTTGATGTACGATTTGCAGGCAGGTTACGACGGAACCAACCGCCAACAAGTATCTAACGGTAGCAATACAGCTGGACTTTACATGACATTCGCACGACTAACATAAGATTGCCCACAATTTCCGATCGTACGACAATGGTACGACGAATGTTACCAGGCCCTTACAGTCGGCACCTGTCTATCCGTTCTGCTCCAACAGTCTCCAGTGCAAGAAGTGCAGTTTGCACAAAGTAAAATTCAATGTTCCCTAGTATTCCAGATAAAATGATAACATTACACACTCTCTATCCAGGCAGACCGTCTGGCGGCGGGACTGATGTCTATCGGAGTCCGCCGTGGTGACGTGGTGGCCTGGGTCATGAGCACCAGGCCGGAGTTTGTCGCGCTGTGCTTTGCCTTGGCAAAGATAGGCGCCGTCGCTGTAAGTCCTCTTTCTATATTAGAGTTCACTTGATCGATTTTGATACGCTGATCTGGTAAAAGTACCTATTTCATCCATCCATCCATCCATCCATCCATCCATCCATCCATCCATCCATCCATCCATCCATCCATCCATCCAAAATTTTATTTCTTTGTCAAACCATTTTTCAGCTGATTCAGAGTAAGAGTTACAACCTACTTGTTATGTCAAATGGATCTTAATAGTATTTGCTTTCTTTATATACAGGTGCCGCTTACCCCCCTCTACTTTTGGTCGTCATACAAAGATGTCATAAGCAAAGTGATGGCCAAGGTAATGCATATATATACATATGCATACATACAGCATCTCCGGGGTTCATCTATATAGTTTTGAGTAGAACACAGCTGGCACGGTATATAGTAGATAAAGAAATGTAAAACTAAATGCGTTAACGCTATTTTTTTCGGGTACCCCAAATGGGTGTTTGCACGACGTGAGCGTACTCATTACACGCAAGTTTTCACGCGTGCTAATAATCAAGCTAATAATTTTGCACGCGTGCCGTTCCTCAGGCTGTGCTGAGTTCTGCAAACACTCATATTCGGGTCCCAGTATATACCTGATGATGAAAAGTTTGTTTTGTTCTGCTGACGTTAGAATATTCGATATGCGTAATAGAAATACGTTGAACACCGTAAAAGTAGTCCAAACGCAATCTCTAATGAGGCACTTCATTTTCGTTTTATCCAGATTGAGGTTAAAATCTTCTTGATCGAAAATTTCCCCTCCACTGAAGACTTCGAAGGGACACTGCCGTTCCTGAGGAAGGCGTTTCCGACGTCAAACAAGACCAAGAACTTAACCACTGACACGCACGTATTCATAGCCTGATATCCAGTCTTATCGTGGTTGGGGCTTTTTTTTTCCTCGAGGCTGCAGGAGCTCTTTCCCCGCTCACCTCCTTGGTTTCCCAGTGGACCTTTCACGATGGGAGATTGATAACTCCCCGGGCGTGCCATCTCTATTAGCGTAACGCTCCTACCTGGCGGCCTGTGGTACCGTGTGACACAGCCTGCCCCAAAAACCATGCCCCAACCACGATAAGACTGGATACCAGGCGGCTAATTCTTACACCAAATATTTCAAAGACTCATCAACTTTTGATTTCATTATTACATGCACACAGTTCCGAGATTTGCAAAATCCTGGAGCAAAAATATTCAAATGACAAGTTATGAAGGAGTGACGAGACGCCAGCAGATTTTACCGTATATGATATATCATATGTGTATTCTTTTTTAAAGTTATCGACCGCTTGTTAAAGAGGGTGGGTTTTTTTCTAACACAATGCGTTTTGACGACAGTGTTATGTATTATTTCATCAATTCTTCACATGTCGTTTCAACAGAATACCAAGCTTAAGATCCATTGTCATCATCGGAGACAAGAATCACGAGTAAGTCTGACATATCAATTATTAATATATTTTCTTCTCTGGTAGTCTTGTCAATCACAATAAATTGATTAGGACAGCCTCTTTGTCTCCCGACTTTTTTTATAAATTACTTGTTTTTCTGTTCTCTCAGTGACGCTTTCCAGAATCTAGAAGACATTCAAAGCCTGGGGACCGATGAGGCCGCTAGGGGACGTGTACAGGAAGCCCTGAGCCAAGTGGATTGCCACGATACTGTCATCCTTGCACTTACGTCTGTAAGTAGTCTTTTTTTAACACATAGAGGCTGGCAGGTTAACTCCCCTGGTATACTATTCCCTTTATTTCGGCCAATTTCTACTTTTTTTTCCAGCGACTATCGGGGCCTGGTAGAGGATAGTAATCTTCCACCACTATCTTAGGAACTACAAATCTTCCGACTTTCATGAAAGTTCATCTGTATTGGTAGTTACATGTTTCAAATTAAAACTTTTGGTCCCACACAAAAAGTTCTCTCACCCAGAGCTTTCGACCAATCACTCTGGTGATCCTCAGTAGACTGACCCAGTGAGGCTTGTCACGTGGTGTGTGACGTCAACACTGGGTCAAAGGTATCTGGTAGACGATGTCGGCCCCCGTCGCGGTTAAGTGAAGGGTGATGGGCCCTGACTGGTCGAAAGCTCTAGGTGAGATAACTTTTTTTTTCGCTGGATCAAAAGTTTTTAAACAAATTTTTTGATTTGTATGATTTAGCATGGCATGGCCAACTTGTATCCCCCACACAGGGAAGTTCCGGTCTCCCCAAGTGTGTTGAACACAGCAGCTTCTCCATTGTCAACAACACGCGCCTACACATGAGGGCCATTGGCATGGATACCAGGGTAGGCAAATAGTTCGAGTAGGGGGGGGGTTGAGGTAGGGTAAGAATGGGGGAGGGGGAAGTGTTTGGGAAGGATATGTAGTGAATTATACTTCGCATCTTTAGAATAGCAAAATCTAATTCATAGTTCTGAACATAGGACATAGCACAAAAACTATAGAATAAACCTAAAATCCTAATTACTCAAAATTTCTATTACAGAAATCCGTGCTGCTGCCCACAGATCTGCCGGAGTTCCCGCTGGCCTTCCCAGCTCCCTTCATCGCGGGATTTACTCTTGTCTTTCCAAGCAACGAATTCCCTACTATGACAGAAATCTTTGAAGCTATTACGGAAGAAAGGTCTCGTTACTTATCAAAGTACACTTACCAGTGAAATGTAGAATTACATGGACTGTCTGATATATGTGCACTTGTGCGTATCATGTAAAAATTACACATGTACAAGGAAATTGTCACTCAGGCAACTGGATAGGTTTTGAAAACGTTCAGGTGTTTCATGAAGCATCAGCTACCTTTCGTCAGTGGCTGATGTCTTACCTTCATCGACTCAGTTTGAAATTGAATCCATGTACGTTGATGATATATTCAATGGGATGTTACATGTTTAGGTGCGAGGCCACCACGTTGATGTACGTGAGGACGTTACACGAGCTTCTACACGATCCATCTGGGAAGGAATATGACTTATCATCTCTGAATCAAGGTACTATTGTAAGCCTGTAAGAAAATGATATCATATATATATACGTTCAACGTACTATAGGTAAGATAATTCAATTCTTTATCATCATACCAACATTGCAGACATACATATAGAATTACATGTATAATGTTGCCTGAATGACATTGATATTTCATTACAATCATTACATTAAAAATAAACACATAACATTACATTGCGTTACATATATTTCACATTATTCAAGCTGTCTAACTTGATGCAAATGTTTATTCCTTCAGTTAAAGTTGGTGGAAATGTTGTGACCAAGCAGCTAGTACGGCGTGCCGCAGAAGTCCTCCCAGGCGTAGAGATACTTGTGAGTATGAAAAGGGCTGATCATTTGGGGCGTCTTGTAGGGAACAATGAACATTGTAAAAACAGTCTAGTGGAAATTACAAACGTTGAACATTGAAAATTAACAATTGTCTGTGGTAGACTCTAATTATGATTGTTAACCATTGTCAATGTTAGCCTCTAATTTTAAATTGTTAACTATTAATTCTTGTCAATGGTATAATGAGAGTTCATCTGTGTTGGTAGTTACATGTTTAGAGTTAAAACTTTAGATCCAACACAAAAAGCTAGGTAAGAGAACATTGCCAATGGTAGACTATAATTATGAATGTTACACAAGACCAAGTTGATTTGATTATATGGATGACACCCTCTGATGTGTGCGAGCGTGCGAATAAAAAATTTAAAAAATCAAGCTTGGCAAAAAAAAGGTTTCTTTCATAATGGAATCTACTTGATCATGAAGTTTGAACAAATGACTCAACACACAGAGTACGGTATGGCGAATAATGAACTCCTCATTTTCAACTCTTCCCAATTTGGTCTTTTCCTTTGGAATTCATGTTGGCATTCCACGACATCAGTACCGTTTTCCAATATTGCAGCTGCTTTGTACGATTTACAGTATGTTTGATGTCAACCAAATACTCAAATCAACATGCCCCCATTTTCTCTGATAAATTAGTCTGACAAAGCTAATTTAATTATGCACTTGCTCATGCATTGACAAAAAGCAAGTTTGATAAAAAAGACTTTCTACGGCCTGTCATGTCAACTTGTCTCCGTTCCCGACAGAAAAATTACGGAATAACCGAGACCTTGTCCCTGACGGTAACAAGTCGTGAAATGACGACAGAGCAGCTGGAGTCGACAGTGGGTAATCTGCTGCCACATACGGAGGTAAGGACCCAAAGGTTCTATTTACATGCAATTACATTTACAGTAAAAACAATGACGAGATACTTAATAGTAGACGGAGAGCCATCCATATTGTGATTTACCTACTGAATAGATTGACTTGAAAAAATTACTTTCACTGATTCAAACTGACGTCAACAATGATTACAATTCTTTGTTTATTGTTTGAATGAACCTACACAATTATATTACGCACACAGTATACACAATTAAATACAACCTCAACATAAAAAAATGCAAGGAAGCGCCAGAAACCTACTAGTATTGTTTTCTTTTCTCGGGCACTCCTTCATTTGCTATTATTGAAAATGCATGTCTTTAGCATTAATGTCACAAATCGTTAAATGTATATATTTTCAATTCGTTGTTAGCGAGTACAGTAGGAGTATCTCAACTATATAAGTTAAACAGCGCCTAGAGTTAGATGTAACAAAATTTTCTGTTGATCATGACGACATACAGGTATGGTGGCTGTCCTTGGTACTGAAACTGTTCTGTTTGTAGGTTTCTAGTACAGAAAACTTAAGTGGATTTTCACAGAGACAAGACATCCGAGCTATCAAAAATTAAAACTTCCCGTGGCTACCGAGCCATCACTCGCCTTCTCAACTCTAGTAATGGTACCATGAAACTTGCAATTCACTCTGACATATCCAACCTCAGTAACTACTGCAGGGCAGCACTATTTTGGTCTGGTCTATAAACGGTTATGAATTGTTTTTATAATTACCAACACTATATTTATTTTAATTTCTATTGTTTACCTGTATTGATGCCTTTATCTTTCTATGCACTCTTTACTGTCTTTCAAATTACGCAATGACGTGGGCCTTCGTGCCTGAAGTAAAGAATACATGATATAAATAGAATAGATAAAATATTACACAGATATATTTTACTTTTATTAAGATGAAGCTGGTGGACGGACGCGGTCAGACCGTCCCCCTGCAGCACGAGGGAGAGGTCTGGGTACGAGGCTACTTTGTGTTCAAGTGTTACCGAGGAGACGATGAGAAAACTGCGGAGGTGAAGACAGCTGACGGCTGGTACAAAACTGGGTAAGCCATGTCTACCCGTTACCAGTGGCATATGTATGAATGCAATCAATCAACTTTATTGCTCAACAACCGTAACTGGTACAATGTATGGCAGAGACAAAGCATGAACTTACCCAACAGTTGTACAATGCACGGCGTTTAGATAACTTAAACAAAAAAACGACTGAGCTATTCTATGTACCAGAAGAGAGCACTGATGGCAAAGTAACGTTTATTAGTGTTATCGACGAGACAATGAGAAAACTATGGAGGCCAAGCTGACAGCTGGTAAGAAAAACTGGGGGTAAGGCTTTCCTTCTCGCTCAATGTGTTCAAGATTGAGGTGAGGTAATTAAGTATAAGCAATTATGTATGCTCTAGTCAAAGACTTACCTTAGTAGCCTAGACCAAGAGTTCCGCAATCTCATATCTTGATGATGGTCACGTTTAGATGTGTGTTTGTATATGTAACGTTGATATGTTTGGTTGCATGTGGTTTAGCACGTCAACTCGAGAAGCTTTGGCTGTCAAGAAACTTCAAGTTGGTTGCCGTTAGGTTACCATCATAGGCTATCAAAGAAATTATTACAATTTGGACCCTCTGCCGGCTTACTTTGGCACTGCAGCAGAACTCAGCTTTTCATATCTTGTGTTCTGGACATACGGGGGTCCGGAAGGGGTCCGATGCACAGCCTACTTATAACTTATGACCTGCCTGTCACACATCTGCATATCCCAATTGCGCACTAGTTCATGCATACACACATTTCTTTCATGCGTAGTCATACGCACAATACGCTTATTTTATTACTCTGACGCACATCTCGTGTATACATAAACAATTCAGCGTATCCATTGCGTATGAGGTTCTTGCTGAGATGCCTTCTGATGACATTCAAATAATCTAACCCATGTAAATGTAAGGTTAAATGTACATGCATATCATTCATGACAAAATATACAACGGCAATTTTTATAATAGAAAACTGACCTCAAAACAACTTGTCCCAGTGGAAATAATCTGGCTTTATTGTGTACCATCAAGAGCAAACAAATTTCAAAAGATTTTATATGATATTTATGGAAAAACTATAATACAGCCGAAGAGCTGGGGGAAAACTATTACAATTCGAATTAAGTTCGAATTTAGATTTTTTGGCATCTTTTAAGTATTCTTAATTCATTTAAATAGAAAATTAAGTAAACACTTTAATGTCCTTAAATTATACTTACATACGCCCTCTTTATAAGGCCTAAACAAGTATTCTATTTAAGTTGCCCCTCCTTGTTAAAAATTATGGAATTAATGCCCATACGGTTTTCGTTATGTTAATTTTCTATAGTATCCTTTTATATGATATAATGATGATTATATGATAAACTGTAATATCCGTATTTCAATAAGGTCATATTTTACAAAATAAAAAAAGAAATCATGTGAACGGCAGTGAACCTTAATCCGACGCAACCTTAATCCGACACTTTTCAACACTCCTCTGTCTGTTAGGATCTAGCACTGATATGCAAAATCTTTTAATTGCTTTACAAACTCAATAAGGTACACAGCCTAAAAACTTGAAACAGTGAGCTAACGAAGTCAACATGTTGTGGAGACGAGGTCATGAAAATTGTCAGCCTGTTTTACACTGGTAGGCATGTCGTGGGAGGAAGCTTCCGGAAGGACAGTGGTCAAAACATCGACAATTTCTCCTTTACATCCTCATGCTATACATTCAACGTTACAGCGAATAAAAAAACAATTAATAAGGTGTGTGTTGCTGACAAACCACTTGCCTAGAAGTGTCCTTCTTTTTAAGCACAGAGCGAGTTCGTTATGGTCATTCAGCGGCCGATCGAACACGACCGCCATTTTGAATCCGAAATGTACTTGTTGTTGTTGTTGAAGACGATACCACTAGTCTGTACGTGGATGTGGCAAATCATCGCAACACTTGTATTATCGCCAAAATTAGTGACAAATACTCCGGAATAGTGCAGAATTAAGTTTTTTGACTGGTAACATTATTGTAAAATTCTTCAATTATTCCTTTCTTGGAACTAAAATGCCCCGCCGTAACTGATTCGAATGCGGTCCCCTTCTTTGTAAATTCAATAGTCCCAAGCCACGTGATTTGGTGTAGCGCTGCACCGCGGTGCACCGGCCTGCCGACTTACTTTTGATGCCGTTGATAACTTGTATAAGTGTCTGTTGTTTGACAAAGGGATTGAGAAAAAAATGTTGTTGTGAATAGCAAAATTACAGGCAAACAGCTACACTGTTGCATGGCGTCGGATTAAGGTTTCGCTTAGAACAGAATACGCAGGGCACGGTGAAATCGGGAGCGATGTTGAAGACGCAATTTTCCCGCGATATCTCAATGGTTGGGAGAGTGACACACACGTAGGTATGGCGTTAAAAACAGGCTACAAGATGCACTAAATGATTAACGAAAATACCGAATGTCTGGTTGTGGATTCATCATTCAATCTTGCTTGTGCATAAAAGTGTCGGATTAAGGTTCACTGCCGTTATTTGAAATTACCACAACATGACAATTTTATGTTTAAGATTCTTAGATATTATCAATGTCTAGCCTTAAATGTTAAAGTGTTATTACAATTAATTTGCCTTAATATATGACAATAACGATGTACAGGTATATGCGGGAGGTTCTCCATTGGTTCGAGAGTCCCTTACCGGGTGTTGTGAGTGACCGGCTGCGCAGCATGTCTCTGCGGCCTCAGCAGGTCAATCTTCCGGAACAATTCTTCGGCCGTTGGCCGCCTCGATGGGTTGAATACCCAACATGACCTGATGATGCGGTACACCGGCAGAGGGCAGTTCTGTGGCTGTTGAAGACGGACCCCTTTCCTTAGTAGTTCCAACAGTGTGCAGACGTCCGGGTGCATCGGACCTCCAGCGTAGCGCGGCTCCTCCCCAAAGCTGGCGATCTCCCACAGCAGCACGCCGTACGACCACACGTCACTCTCACACGTGTACACCCCGTCCCGTAACGACTCCACGGCCATCCACTTCAGCGGCAACAGCTCCTCCTCTCCGCCCTGCGTGGTGCGTTCGTACGCCGACGACACGTAGACGTCGCGCGCCAGTCCAAAATCCGCGATCTTGGCCACTTTTTTGTCGCTGATGACGACGTTACGAGCTGCGATGTCCCGGTGCACGATCTTCAGACGTGCCAGCTCCGATAACCCACAGGCAACGTCGCAAGCAAAACCGAGACGTTCTAACAGTTTCCTATCCCCCGTGATCTTGCACTGTTCACGCAAACTCCACAGATACCGGCGTAATTCTTCATTGCTCGCGTACTCTACCAGGATGTACTGAGGGTCTGACTTGGTCAGAAATCCATAAAGCTTCACTACGTTTGGGTGCCCCTCTTTGTCCTCGTGGATTCTCGCGAGAGTGTCCATTTCTCGGTGAAAGTCGCGGACAGCCGACGCCGTCTTACGGTCAGGCCGGATACTTTTAGCGGCGACCAGAACCTCGTAGCCTAATTCCGGCACGTGAAGTCTTGCCCGTACGACATGGCCGAACTCTCCCTCCCCGATCATGTGCTCGAAGTGAAGGTCCTCTTCATCTACTTCCCATGACGAAAGGGTTTCTGTCAAGGTTGTCATTTCTGTTGGCTGTTCTGATTTTCTTTGGCGTCGGCAACCCCTTTTCACCAGGAGTCCAGTGACGATGCAACCAATTATGACAGTACTGGGAATAACGGACGCTAACACTACTACAGCAAGGACTTGATTCCTCTCAGGATTGGAGACGATCTGGCAAAACTCACCCGACTGTCCTTCAGCACAAATACAGCTGCCATTGACTGGATCACACAAGACGCTGTTTTCACAGTAGCACGTCATACTGCAGTTCTTCCCAAATGTGCCAGGTGCGCAATCGTGCTCACACCTGTCTCCACGACGGCCTGCAGGACACAGACACCCCTCCCACCTGTCACACGTCCCTCCGTACTCACAGTCACACACTTGGCTGCAATCTTCTCCATGATAGTTGGGTCGGCATTCGGTGGCGTTCAGTATGAAAGTCGCATTAAAAAGCTGACCATCTTCAGCATGTACCATACAACTATATTTTCCGTTAGCCGATTCTAGGATCGGCCGAAAGCTGATAGAACTGTTCTGAACTGTCCCTTCTTTGACAGTTTTTGTGTCGTAATGTTTTTGTCCTGCTTGATAAGTCCAAGTCATATTGGCCACGAGAATATGTGGAGCCAGGCAGGTTAAAGTCAGATTGGTACCGATGTATTTCACGACTAAATCGCCAGGTCTCTCTACGATGGCGACCTCAGGCCAGGGAATATCACAGGCCCTCCCTCTCCAGCCCGGGCTGCACTCACACGCACCGTTAAACCCATGGCAGCGGGCGCCGTTCTTACAAACACAGTTCTTCTCACAGTACACACCGTACCGACCCTCAGGACATCCTGTCACGTTGTAATGATATGTCCAATCAAACAGAACTCTGCCTCCAAGGAAAGTCAAGTTAGCACTACATACAAACCAATATGACGACGTGGACCGTATCTCATACAACTCAGCGGCAAAGACATAGCGGTCATTTTCTTTTATCTTGAAGTCGCCACTCAGTGCCCACCGAGGCAGGTCGTTATCGATATTAGTGTCCAATATAGTAATCCTCCCTTTAGACCGCCACTCTCGGTCCTGACATTCAAGTTCGACTCTACCTTGATTCTGTTCTTCGAGCACGGAGGCGACCAGCCTATCGTCTCCACGTAGTCTCCCTAAACTAGCAATATATTTTAAGGAGCAATCGCCTTTTAAGAGGAAGTTAGCGGCGTTGCGTTTCGCCAAAGGGTACTGAAGATAATCGCCGTACGACCCAACTATCTCTCCATCAATGGAAGCATAAAATCCCTCACTCGTGAATACAGTATAGTTCCCGTTCCACTCTTTATCCGGAAGGACTGGCGTTTCACACTGTTTGTTATAGAATGGCGGGTATCCAGACACGTCTATGACTACGA